TTGTTTCACATCTCACAACGAAACACATTTCAAATGTGGGAGATAATACATAACTAGGATCTGACAATGTTTGAAACAGGAAACTAACAAATGTCGGAAAGACTTTTTAGCAATATATGACTAAAAAGTATTATTTTGGTCTTCTGCTTTGAAAAGATATCTTGCTTGATTAAACTTGGAAAAGCTTCTGAGAAGTGATTCTACAATTAGCTTTACCTCCGGGCTAACTAAACGCAGCCAACACAACAACAAAAAAAGTTTAGTTGCATAATTTCTAAAGGAAGACCTAATCTTCTCAATATAAAATTAAATTGGGGTCTTATGAGATATAATGTTAATGTCTTCTCATTTATATAGAAGAAGTATACTGATGGGCATAAGAATGTGGTATAAATATAGTTTTAAGCAACAATTAGCTATTCCATCCTTGTTGTTTAATAGTCTTACACTTTAAATTTTCTTTTCTTCTTTTATTATGTCATGTTATTTCTACAAGACCATTTTACATATTGTTCTTGTCATGAATTGGAGTTGTAGAAGGTGAGGATAGTGGAGCTCGGTAATTGGGAGAAATTAGGATTTTAATGCCAAACATGAAGGAGAACAGAAATCCAGGCAACACAGGTGAGTGATCAGGCAAGGAAACACAGAGGCTGGTTGCACTGGGAATACAGAACCTGAGACACACGAACGACAGGTGACACAAGTGGAGTTAAATACACAGATGATAATCTGTGGAAACAAGGGACAGCTGGACACCAAGGGGTAGACAGGACAACACAAAGACTCAATTAACAGCAAAATACACACAAAAACCCAAATCCTCACAGTTCTTTTTTTCTTCTTTTCCTTGATGTTAATTAAATTAATAAAAAAAAAAACCTAAAACTATTTAAATCATAGACAAAAAAAAGATTGAATGTGTTTAATTTTACTTTCATCATAAATCCTAATCACTCCAGTAAAAACCTGAATGGCTTAGAAGAAAGCGATAACTAAACTGGGACAGGAAGCAGGGACGTAGTAGTGAAAACAAACTACCCAATCTATGCTTTGATTACATTTTGCCTGCCAGGGTGGAGTCTAAATTTAATATATTTCCTGTTCTGTCCCACCGACAGCACGAACGAGCAGACTGTCCTTCCCTACCAGCCCACCAATGTTGATGGAGTGTGGCGGTGATTATTTGCAACACTTGCTGCTAAACTGCAAACTTGGTCTATCTTTTATATGACTATTAATTGCAATTAATTTGCACCTTCAGTGAATACTAGATTAGACACATAACCTTGGGCACCAATAAATGTGAGTTAGTACACAGGTGCTGCAGCTGATGAACGGTGAAAAAACGATAAAAACTCCCCAGTGGGACTGAAAGTAGGACACTTTTCAAATAGATGGCGCAACGAGCGGATAATTAAAGGCGTGTCCTTACGAGCAGGGTTCTTCTGAAGCTTTTTGAGGGCTGCCAGCATTCCCTTGTAGCCTTCATAGCTCTTATCGTTCTGGGTGTACAGAAGGATCTTCTTGGCATCGTTAAACAGACGGGAAATTCTGGTGATGACAGCAAAAGGAAAAACACAATTACACAACGTTTTTACAAGTTTCAAAAAGACACAAAGATGTCTTCTAAATAGTAAAAACAAACAAATTCTACAGTTCTGATCAAATGTTAATAGTGCCAATACAAAACAGTATAGATAAAAAAAAATTCTTAGCCACTTTACTTACATGGAGTCATTAAAATTTCCAACTATGCCTGGAGTCTCTCCAGGGGTCGGATTACGAAAGCAGGGATTGTTGGCATTACAGATAATGCCTTGTACCCAGGGCAGGGTACCTGCTGAGGGCATGGCCTTGTTAGGAAAGTGACCTGGGAAAAAAAGCCAACATTTTTCATGATAAGTTAAATTCCAGAACAGGTAATACATAAGCAAACTAAATAGTAATGAGATACATGGTATTCCTCGCAAATAACCTCAATGTTTGGTTTCTTTGATTTCTTAGTCAGTTGTTTCAAATGTACAAGTAAAAAGCTATTCATAAAATAGTAGAAAGGGAGTCAAAGCGGTTCGACACTTCTTCGCTTTGCTGGCTCGGTTTAATTTTGCATGTTGGAGCCTTTTTGAGATGCTGTGTCTTACACATTTTAATACTTTTAGATGCTTTCTTTCGCTGAACTGTTACGTGGCAGAAGGTTGAGAAAGCAGCTGCACTTTTCCTGCAGCTGATGGTTTAGTCATAAATTCACATAGTACAAACAAATATTGACAAAGCAGATAGCTTCTTGTGCGTCAATAACAAGGACCTCAGATGACTACCGTGTTGATCTTTTCGAGAATCAAATGTTTTGCCTAAAAATAGCATAATGGAACAATTCAATGATACAGCACCTTCTTTATCATTTCAAAATAACATTCTTCAATGTGTTTTGTTAGTGCACTATTGGTCGTGAATAAAGTTTAATCTAATTCACTGAAGGTCACTTGCGGTGTGCTACAAGGTTCTGCAGTAGGTCCTTAAATCTTCAAAGACTTAAAATATGACTTTTGTGTTCATAGCAAAATATTACATTTCCCTGAAAAGGTTTACAGCTTCTGAATAAAGGTTCCAAGTAATGTTTCCATATAAACTTTCTTTTTACTTACATTCATGTTGTTCATAGGGAGGATAATACATCCGGACTGATATCAAGATGAAGAAGATAAACAAGGGCCAAATGATTTCAATCAGCAGCTGGATCTAAGGGTCAAAGAATGATGGGAAGGTGTTAAACATTCCTAGACACAAATCACTTACAACTGATGAGTTAATCAGCTCCTGACTGATTCTTTTCATTTGTTCTTCAGTCGTTGCAGATTCCTTTGCCTCCTTTCCAGCATTTGATTCAAGAAAAGCTACATTTTGAGAACATTTGACTGTTTTACTTTACAAACACTGAATCTCACCATGAGTCTGTATAAAGTAAATTGGTTATTAAGCTGCTACAGAGCGAGACAGAGACAGGGAGATCTGTATGGGATTTTCCACCGCACCATATGGCCTTTGAGCTTCAGCTGCCCACTTAAAGCAGCGGGTCAGACATGCAGTGTGACGGATGAAGAACAGAGCCGCTGTCTCAACAATATGCACTGTATCCCTTTTGTCAGAGGAGACTGTTCAGGAAATCACGCGGCCACAGCTGCCACTTCGAGGAGCTGAGAAGTGACCTAAATGTATGCAGACTAACTCACCCCACTCTGTATAAAGCAGCACTTATGTTAACTTGTCAGACTGAATTTAATTTGCATAACTTTGAGCATGTGGGCATCAACCGGCACATGATAGTAGCCAGAGAAACAGATATAACTGAGGATTGTGTCATCCTCTCTGACTCAGTCAGTCTCCACACTGTAACACTTCTCAATCCAAACGTCTCAGAGGACAATAACATCACTGCCTCTCTACCCACTTATGGGAACAATATGTGTGAGTAAGCACACATGAAAAAGTTTTGATTTACAGTCAACCAGCTGGAAACGTGAATGAAACACACACAAAGCAGTGTTGGGAAATCATTCAACATTTTGTATAGTAATTGAAAAACAATTATATTAGTAGAGACTTATCGACTTTCATTTTCCCATGTATATATGGGAATTTCTTAAAGTCTGATTTGCCCAATCCAGGTTTTACAACTTGTTTATTAAAGATTTATTTAAAATGTAAAATAGAAACATCCAGCATGTCCCAAACTTCCAATTAGATTTGTAAGAAACTTTAAAAATTTATCAGTTTAAAAACTGTCAACTGAGAGTTTTTAGTTTAATGTGTTTAAATGAATATATTTTAATATTTCACATCAATTCAGCTGTCCAGATAAATCAGAGCAAAATTGGGATGCACATTTATTGCCCCTGTTGCATCTCTAAATATTAGCTCGGTTACATATTTAGATATACTTAGAAATGTGTGCTAAAAAAATTTTACAATTTCACAGGAACAGTAGCATTTAGACAGTTAGCAGCTGTAATAATCAGTTATAACTTACAGCTGAGTTTATGATTCTTTCAAATCAGTGATTAAGAGACTACTTACGGTTTGTCTTCGTCTGTAGGTGAAGTTCTTCCATAGCAGTAGACCCAGCTGAGTGGAGACTGCCATGTTGCCGTCTTCCTAACCTCAACGAGCCAACTCCTGCTCCTCACTGAGAAAACGGCAAAAAACACACACACACACACACAAAGCACAGGGTCAAACACAACAAGCATAAAGCACAGAGGCGACTCAAAAACAAATATCAAAACCATTCATTCACATTGTTCTTGTCGTGGAGAAATAGTTATGCGGCCATAACAGATGCATGTCAATTTCGCTGTGTTCTTGTGAAATAAAACAGTGGTCAATTAAAGAGGACGCTCTCACGCAGAAAAATGGATTTGAAAACAGAACAGAAAGTTATTACATCAATAGAAGACAACCAAAGTCACACAGGAAAAAAACAGCAAGGAAGGAAAAAAAACAGCAAGAGGAAGGCTGAAATTGGATGATAAAAATTTCTTGGAAGAGTAAATAATCCTAAAATTAATCCATTAGAGGCAAACTACAGTAAAATGCCAGAACATTCACCTCTTGAAACAAAACACCTCTGACCTGAAACACAGAGCTGCCAAAATACCAGCAAGGCTCAGCAAAATTCAGCCAACCGACTGGAAGACGGCTGCCGACTCCTGCAAATTCAGCTCCACTTAATGTAAACTCTTCTGTCCAAAGTTCAAGCCCTTCATCTGGGAGGATGAGTGGGTGGGGAGAGGATGGGGCAGCGGGTACGGGGGCGAGGATTGAGCCCATGAAAAGTTTTCAGTAGATTCTGTTATCTTTACTGGGTCCAGCCAGATAACGCCTCAGAATCAAACACAATGTTACATTTGATGTGAATTCAAAATTTAGGAATGACTTCAGCTCATTACTTTCTCCTTGTTTATTCTGTAAAGAATGAATAATTAAACAGCTTTATTTTTTCCCCTTTTTGCTTTGTTATATTTTTCTTATTTACAAAGTGAAATGTGGTCTTATTTCTTCGAAAACTATTTATATAACTATACTATTTATATATTCATCAATCTGGAAACATAAACTCTTCTAATCAAAACTCTTTGGCACCGACATTATGTTGACCTTTCACCTGGACCTGAAAAATTATGCGTTTAACTGATCAAATCGGTGTAAAATTAAAAAGCAAACCCAAATGCTCTCACTGTACAAACTCAGACTGTATTTCATTCAGTTTTTCCAAATTTTGGGGAGTTAGGTGGTGAAACCTGACGTTTCATTGGTGGAAAAATCAAGGCCGTCCTGTTTTTCATGCATAATGTCCTTTATACAGATTAAAGCTGATTGGCTGCAGTGGACAGTGGGCCCACAGCACGGCAAAGTCAAGGACCATGATGTTCAAACATAACCTGTCATACTGATGAGTTCATCTGCTATAAAATCTAACGTTATATGACTTTGAAACAGTCTTAAAGCAAATAACTTTGACCAAATAACTTTGGGTCAAAGTTGTTTGGCCAAATCAAATAACTTTTTTTTTAAAACCACTTATCTGGGTTGGATGAATACTCACTAAGGGAAAGAAAATATGCAAGGATTGCTTTTAGCACTAAATCATTCGCAATTTATTACTTTGGATACAAATATGTTGAAGAGAAACAGATGTGAAAATTCCCCCAGCCAACAAAAAAGACTAATAGATCAACAATGTCCAACTATATTTGTCCTAAAATCAATTACAAAACAAAATCCACTGAAAAATCCACTTAACATGTCATGATGAAAAACTAACATGAACTTTGGGATCCATGAACAAACACAGCGATCCAGCCACATGATCTGTTGCTCGGGTACATTTGTTTCACCCATCAGTGAGTCACTGGATTTGGTGACAATAACTACTAAGAAAGAACGTTAAACAAAATTAATTACAGCAAAACTGCTCCATAACTCTGTAAATTAGTAATCTGGCCATATTTTAGGCTACTGCGTCATGTGACACGAATAACAAAACAAGCCATATCCGACACCGTCGTCTTTTTTTTTTTTCAACTTAACGTCGTGTCTTGATAAAATGCGGAATTTGGTCGTTTTCCCTCACTGCATGAGCCGATCCGTTTTAAACGAAAAGCCCTGAGAACAAAAGATGGATGTATTGCCATCATTCTACTAATTCCCACTGTAGCATAAGACTCATTTTTATTGTTTTCGACCCCATTGCGCATCTGAAAGAGACAAACACTGGTTCAAAACCTACGCGTCGTATGCAGAGAAAAAAATAGAGGGGGCTCTTTAGCTCAGGAACTGGTGCAGAGCGAGAGCGCCTCTAGTGGTATAAAAAAACATGGCAAAAATCACATTTATACTTGTTTACCATCGTTCATCGCTCACGTGTTACATCACATTAAAGCAGAATGTTTCCCACCCCCCCTTTCTTCATCGCCATTGTCTTTTTAGCTTCCATAAAACGTCTCAAAATGATAACTGATCATCAAACTTATTTCTTTTTCTTGTATAAAAAAAAGAGGGAAAAAAACGATGATGTATGTAAAACGACTTTTTGGGCTCCAAAGTAGCACATATGAAAACACAATGTTTCAACGACGCTTTATGCATGCATGTTAAACAAAATACCGTGGAAGATTAAACAAAACACAAAAAACACACACAGAGACATTCTCTGCATGACTTTTTTCATCGAGTGGAAATGACTTAGATGTAAGACAAATTAAAGCAGACATGAGCCAAACGCCTTTTGACGAAATGTTTTCGGTAGGTGTATTTAATAGGATAAGAGATTATAAACAATAATCGTCTTCCAGGCTGACTTTTGTGCTTCATCTCATTGTTCTGTTGAACTGGGGTTACTGTCGGTCATCCAGTTTAGCGTCGCTGACGCTTCGTCAAGTCAGACGAAATAAAGCGGCAAAAAAACGAATTAACCTACAAAATAAAGCCAAACCAGACATAAACTATGTCCTATGAGTGATTTACTCCCAACTGTCTCTTATTAGACCATGATGTTCTAAATATGTCATTAGACAAAGCAGCAATAACCATCGTTTTTCAAGTTATCCTCTTTTATGAGGTTGTCATTAAGCGTTAAATTAAGACCTTGCCACAGAAACGCTTTTATTTTTGTAATCCCTCACCGGATGCTCTTTGCTTATACTTTCTAACAGACTCCAGTCTAGAGTCGAGTCCGACTCAGACGCTGCCGAAATAGAAAATTAGAGGCTACAAGAAAAAGAAAAACGTGACATTTATCATTATACTAGCAAAACGTCCCAATTTTACGTAAACTGCACCCTTGGTTTAAGCTACAGACCTACAGATGAAGAAAAGTTGCCTATAATTGCATTAGTTCAATTCAAGTACAATATCTTCCTTACAACATAAAAAACAGTTTTTTTCTTTCTTAGTTCCAGATTTACACCATTAGCCAAACAACATGCTAACAACAAGACCAAAAGCGATGAAATATGTGGTTCGGCATTTTCGTCGTAACAAAGAAATTCCAAATCTTTGCGTAAAACTCGCAGAAGTGAAGTCACCAACCTTAATCTTAATGTGTTTACTCGCTCTCCTGCCTCTCATCAATTGAAAGTCCTTTTCTCGAGCAGAAGTGAAAAACGAGGTTAACAACTGCGTCCCTCTGACGCCGCGGTCCTCCTTGTTCTTTGTCAGTGTCTAGGAAAACTGTTTTTTCTCCCCAGGCAGGCTTTTATAGCGCAGCTCGATGCGGAGCGCAGCAAAGGTAACTAACGGTCACAGTTTGATGCTGCTCCCTTATAAGGCAAGCACGTGCAGCAGCAAAACATCTCTTAAAGGGCCAGCCTCAGTTTTTATTTTTTATTTTTTACAGCGCTGGTTTTCAATTAAAGGAGAGCATATGTTCAATTAAGTGATGTAAATAACGCAACTAAATTTTTTTTATATGTATTTGTTTATTAAATGAAGAATGTCAGTGCTTAGTTTGCAACTGGTTAACAATATATGAACTGATTATGTAGTGAAATGGTTTGCTTTGTTATTATTGTATATATTAAAACTTTGAACCCATAACTCGCTTTTGTCAATATTACCACAGGTTTCACAATATTTGCAATTGAATGTGTAAAGTTCACACTCTTTTCCTCCTTTTTTTGTTCCCAAAACTAATAATATAACCGAACATCTCGTTGTTTTATCTGTATGTGGGTGAAAGCTATTGCACAAAGAGTCACAAACAGGACACAGTCCTGACAATTTTTTTTTTGCTAACTTCTTGCTTTTCATCAGTCATACTTCCAGTCATCATCCATCATCATATAACGTGTAAAAAGATATACATCCTTTGAAAGATGTTGTTTTCAGCTAAATAGGAGAAACTGGAAGAGATGACTTAAAGATACTAGAGCACTATCTTTTATATTTAACACCTTAAAATGTTTTGAAATGTACATTATACTTGACAGTTTTAGTGAAGACTGACGACCTGTCCTGAATCTACCCCGCCTCTCAACCAATGTCCAATGACCCCTTCGTGACCCTGCAAAGATAAGCCGGCTTAAATGATGGATGGATTTGTTTTTGATAAAGATATTCTTAAAAATTATCTCCAGTAGTTTTTTCCATCATAAAGTAAAAACCCTCAACTTCTTTCTGTGCTGTGTTTGTATTTCTTTGTTAGGGGGTGGATTATTTATTTATTTATTTATTACCAGTTTATTACAGTTTTGAATGTTCAATCATGCTTTAGCTAAAATGTGATTATCTATTAACTGAACATATTCAAATTGAAGTTACTCTTTTACATCATAGTGGATAATTAAACATGGTGTCCTAATTTCTTTTTTGCATGACTATTGTGCAGAATACTCTGCACAACAGGTTCCAGTCATGGGAAGTAAAATCTTGATGAATAGAGGTCTGAATTCTAAGTTGTTAACTGCAATTTCTACTTTTTGGTGGATTTATGTGTGTAAAATTTTTTAAAATGCTACCGTTTACATCTTATACAATGAAAGATTACAAAAAGAAATTATTTCTGTCCTGATATACACAACTACAAGAGTGTTTAATCGCATATTCTACTGTCATTTACAGCCTGACATGTCATCGTTCAGCAAAAAAATTAATTAGTGCAACAGCTGCGATCAATTCGTCAAGTCATCAGAGCCTGACTGGATGAAAACCTTTAATTCTGTTTCATCTACTGCATTTTTAAACTGAAAACGACTCATCCATCTTGTTTTGAACTCTGCTGTCTCTAACATGCACTCTGTTCTCTACTGTTCTGTTGCTTAATCACTAAATCTGTCCCAAATCGTGCAGAGATAACAGGTTAAACAATGACAAATACTTACAATACTGTTTAACCGAACCTCTCAACTGTCCGACAAATACTCTGTACAGAAGCGGCTGTCAACACTTAATGTCCTCAGATATCAGTGTTTGGATCCTTAACAGCGTGTGCTTTCGTCTGAATGGCTCATAGGCACTTAGACCAAATTAGGATGAGTTAAGGTTGTGTGGGGGAGGATAAGGTCCCCTACGCGACCTTAAGATGTCAGTAAAAAAACTGCAAGGAACATTTCAGATTATACAGTGCCTTGCAAAAAATAGCCACACCCCCAGAAGCAGGGCTGTGCAGAGACCTTTGGAGAGGCAGGGACTCAAGGTCAAAAAAGGGCAATTTGAACGAGATCTCAAAACACTGTTCAACAACATAGCAACAACCCATTAATCAAGTATCTAATTGGATCCGACTATCTCATTGCCATCATGTGGGGACAAAGCAAAGCAAATGCAGGATATTTTCTCTAACAGGTGTATTGTTGCTGTTTCTGCTGCTGACAGTCCTGAAGGGCCGAGTTGATCTGAGACTATAGCTGTTAAATAGACCAGAGGGCAGAAGGTCAAAGGTTATGAAATAAGCAAATTTGCTGCCATTTTACTAATTAGACCCTAATAATATCTATTTAAC